TTTCACTACCAATTATAACTTAAAAATTATCTAAAATTTGCTCAAATGAATCTGATTGCTGCTTACTACTTATTTCTTCAAGTGCATTGCTTTGCAGTTTGAGATTTCGTCATCAGCGTGGCTTTAGCATCATCATTAACATGCCGCCACCTCTTGAATCACTTTCTACTTTCACTGCTTTACACTGCACACAAAACAATAAATATAAAATAAGAGAAAAAGGCACAGACACACATACTGAGGCATTTTCTTTTCGCACTTCAACGCTAACATGGCGAAAAGTGGACTGACGTCAGCGATGGCTGCTGATAACCTTTGCTTCGGAGATGTTAACTAACATCAACATCAACAGCAGCAGCAGCAGCAGCAGCAGCAGCAGCATCGCGCTGTAAAGGAGCCCATATATGTATATTTTGTCAATATATTTGCACATATTTTTGCATGCATGTGTGTGGGATTACCGCGACGAAGCTGCGACGCAGAAATGCCTGAAATACCTTACCTGATCTCGGCACTCGCCGATAGCTAATTACTTAGTTGGGCAAACACTATATATTTGGCTTTAATTTTCAGCCCGAGAGCAGCCCTCAGCTGATCACACAGATGCGATGCTTCCGCAAGTTGGCATTACAGCTGTTGGCCATTACCGCCGACGAGATGATGCAAATCAAGTACAGTGAAAACTGGCTAACAGTAACATTTAATTAATTAGTGAAAGAGTCATTTCCGACCATATAAATCATATATATTCTTGATCATTCACCTGCACATTTTATATTTACTTTTTTGCATGGCAGCTAATTGATATAGAAGTCCGATTTTCATCAAATTTTACACAAAATTCTAGATTAATATATAATGGCTAGATATAAAATTTCATGAAAATCTGTTGAAAACTGAAAAAGTTATACTTCGTTTTTCTTACAATTTTCCGATTGTTCCTATGGCAGCTATATATATATGTATATATATATATATATATATAGTCCACCGATTCGCCATGCTAAGAATTATATACTAGTAAAATTATATAGAAGAAAAACTCCATAGTTTGGTTCAAATAGCTTAAATTTGTTCCAAAACAAATCTCGTACATCTGTGCTTATGATTCCCAACTCGTTCTAACTTCCCCGGAACGAAGTGACTGCCGCCGGCCGAGTTTCAAAAATGTGTTGTGTTACAAAAGTTGCAAGTCATTGTTTATTAGTGTTCAAAGTTAATTAGTGTTCAAAGTTAATTATTGTGCAATGCAACTTACTGATCAAAGTTATTTACTGATCATAGTTAATAGCTGTTCAGAGTTACTTCATTTGCATTGACACTTCCTGGTCAAAGTTACTTTTTATATTGACTAAATGTTGAAAGATACTTCTGATTATAGATACTTACTGTTCAGAGTTAATTACTGATCAGAGTTACTCACTGGTCATAGTTAATTACTGATCATACTTCTACAAATCGTTCGATTGTTCCTATGGCAGCATATATATGTATATATATAGTCCACCGATTCGGCATGCTCCGATTTATATACCAGTAAAATTATATAGAAGAAAAACTCCATAGTTTGGTTCAAATAGCTCTTAAAATTGTTCCAAAACAAATCTCTCGCATCTGTGCTTATGATTCCCAACTCGTTCTAACATCCCCGGAACGAAGTGCCTGCTGCCGGCCGAGTTTCAGAAATGTGTTGTGTTACAAAAGTTGCAAGTCATTGTTTATTAGTGTTCAAAGTAAGAAACGGATCATACAAACATACATACATACTTTCTGATCATAGATATTTACTGATTTTAGTTACTTACGAGTCAGAGATACTTACTGTTCAGAGTTACTTACTGATTATAGTTACTTAATGTTCAGAGTTACTTAATGATCAAAGTTCTATAAATCGTCCGATTGTTCCTATGGCAGCATATATATGTATATATATAGTCCACCGATTCGCCATGGTCCGACTTATATGCTAGCAAAATTGTATAGAAGAATAACTCCATAGTTTCATTGAAATAGCTTGCTCTTTAATTGGTTCAAAACAAATCTCGCACATGTTTATGATTCCCAACTGGTTCAAACATCCCCGGAACGAAGTGACTGCTGCCGGCCAAGTATCAGATGTGTGTTGTGTTACAAAAGTTGCAAGTCATTGTTTACAAGTGTTCAAAGTTAGTAACTGATCATACATACATACATACTTACTGGTCATAGATATTTACTGGTCATAGATATTTTCTGATCATAGTTACTTACTTGTAATAGATACTTACTGTTCAGAGTTACTCACTGCTCATAGTTAATTACTGATCAAAGTTAATTACTGGTCATAGTTCTATAAATCGTCCGATTGTTCCTATGGCAGCTATATATATATGTATATATATAGTCCACCGATTCGGCATGTTCCGATTTATATACCAGTAAAATTATATAGAAGAAAAACTCCATAGTTTGGTTCAATTAACTCTTAAAATTGTTCCAAAACAAATCTCGCACATCTGTACTTATGATTCCCAACTGGTTCTAACTTCCCCGGAACGAAGTGACTGCCGCCGGCCGAGTCTTAGATATGTGTTGTGTTACAAAAGTTGCAAGTCATTGTTTATTAGTGTTTAAAGTTAGTAACTGATCATACAAACATACTTATTGGTCATAGATACTTATTGATCATAGTTACTTGTTATGGATACTTAGTGTTCAGAGTTATTTACTGCCTTTAGTTAATTCCGAATCAAAGTTATTGACTGATCATAGTGACCTAATGTTCATTGATACTTATTGGTCATAGTTACTGATGCTGATCAAGAATATATATACTTCATATGGGTGTAAAAATATCGTTTTTCGGAAGGTAATTTTTATTTTATACCGTTGCAGGGTATTAAAGTTCAATGCAGAAGCTTACAACTTTGAGGTTTATAAGTAGATCTTACTGTATTATCTTGGCTGGTTTTACATCTCTTTATGCACTGACCTCGCACTGCAGGGCCAGCATCAGTCAGCTGAAAACAAAATCAACTTAAAGCAAATAAAAAATAAGAAAATTACAAACAGAAAAATAAAAAACAGATGCGGTTTGATCTTGATTGTCGCCGCACTAAGGTAACACCGCGGTCTGTAAGCATTTGGCCAAGGTAGTTAAATTCCCCCAAGCCGCGTAAGAGAGACTTGTGCTTAAAAAATTGAACATTTGCTTGGATCTCCCTCTAAAAAATACAAAAGATGAAATTTCCCAAAAAAAAAAAAGATCTGGCGTGACGTTGATTTTTATATTCCTTGTTTTTTGCGGGTCAACGTGCCTTTGTCACGCTATACATATACATATATGTATAAAGTATATATTTCCAGCTCAATTTCTTTTCCGCTTTAAAAAAATTATAAAGAAAACAATATTACTCATCCGCCATGTGTACGGTGAAAATTAATGGCCGTGATACTTTCAGCCAAATCCTGATTTATTACCAGGAGAGGTGACCAGTTTCAGTTACCATTTTATTCCATTTTAGCATCAACAAGTCCGATACTTCCCACACTTCCCATTTCCGTTTCCGGTTCGAATAAGAACAACAAGTTGCTTTTTAGGTGATATTTTTAGTTTTAAACAAATCATTTGTTTCATTTATTTTCGTGTCAATTGTATCGTTTTTTCCAGTGCATTTTTGCACCGCTCTTCTTCTTTTTCTTCTCAATAATATATACATGCATATTACAGTGTATTTATTTTGTGCTCAACTTATGCTGCTAGGAACATCGATTTTCGAACAAAGTATTCATTTTTCTTTTAAGGGATATCCAGGAATAGTGCTTAATCGTCGATAGTTTTGATAGAAAACAAAAATATATAGCTTAGTCACTACGATGTGTTGGTGTGTGTGTGTGTGTGTGTGTGCGGTTGGAGTACAATGTGAAAAATTATACACTTGCAGTAAATTTTCCAATGAACTTTGTCGCGTGAAAAACTCGTTAAATAAATAATCAAAACGGGGGATACAAAAAAAAAGGAAAACCATAAACATAGATTTCCTATGTTTATGTCTTATGAGATGCTTCATTCGTACTCGAACTAATAATAATAATAAACATAAAAGGATATTAATAATAATAATAATAAATCGAAACGAAAACCTAAATTAAAATTTTATGATTAAAATGGAGTGATTGTTTTTTTTTATGTTGTTTTTCTTTGAAAGTTTTGGTCAAAAATAAAAGTATTTGGATTGCCTTTCGTGTTGTTGGTCTGTCTAAATAGATTTTAGATCTTTATGTATATATTTTTGTGGGTTTTTTCTTCTTTTTTTTATTGTGTGTGTATATATTTATGTGTGTGTGTGTGTGTGTGTGTGTGTGTGTGTGTGTAAATATGTGTGAGAAAGTGAAAAAAAACATCACAGCTAAAACTTCAGTACATTTTCTCGTGGTTCAAAAAATTAAACACTTAGTTCTCAAAAAAAAAAAAAAAAAAAACAATATGTTTATATACATACATATACATATATATCTATCTATATATATATATATATTTATATATATATATTTATATGTAGATTAAAGTTCTATTTTTCTTTTTCTTCTCTATAAATATACACTTACAAAATATATATATATAGTATAGATGATTTCTTTACTTTACTTTCTTTTGTTTTTGAATTTCTTGTATATATATTTATATATATCTATATATATATATGTATGTAAGTGCCGTGCCCCCCTCCGGCTGACTTTCACAAAGATAACGTATCCTGACATGGCATATGTCCCGCCAGCATATATCATATATCCTTCGATCGCCAATTGGCACTCTGGGCACCGGCTGAGATTTTGGGTTTTATCTTCTGTTTTTTATTATTTATTCTTTTCTAAATACGACGAACGACGGCTAAGTGGCTAGTGGCTAGTGGCTAGTTCCTAGATCCTAGATGCTACGACTAAAAGTACTTGCTGGCCCCCCCTATACTCTACCCTACCCACCGCCCCCTTCCCCTTTTCCTTCCCCCTCCCCTCCCCTGGCGGCAGCTGCTGCAATCAATCATCCCAGCTCCAGTTGGGATCGAGGAGCTCCCGATTGATGCGCCAGAGCATTAGCTCCATGCACGCCCGGGAATCCTCGAAGCTACTGTGACCGGTGGTGCCGTCCCCGCTCTGGATCTCGCGCTTCAGATGGACCTTGGTCAGGTGGCGCAACGCCCGCCGGTAGGGGAATCCGCTGCAGTGCGGGAACGAGATGGAGGTATCGATCAGGGTGTTGTGGACCAGGCGCAACGCGCGCAGATCATTGTCCAGGCCATGACCCACCAGTATGGTATCGGCGGATATTAGCTGCAGGAGATCGCGCTGGACTTCGGCCAAACTCTTGGCGCCGCCACCGGAGCGCAGGTCACGCTCCGTGATGCCCGAGTACCGGGTATTATAGTCGACAATATCGCATTCGGGTCGAACGAAGTGCTCGTAGACAAGCTGCCCGTTGAGGGCCACCAGCGACACCTTGGTGACATCCAGTCCACGGCCCGTATAGCTCATCTCACAGTCCAGGGCATAGACGGCGCACTGGTTATCCTCCTCCTTCTTCTCCTCCTCCTTGCGATGCTGGGTGCGGACAAAGTCGTAGTACGGCCCATTAATGCCCACCACCGACCCGGTCCACACATGCCGGTCGCTGTGACAGCATCCTGGCGAGGATTCGTCACTCTCGCTGCAGCAGCTCCAGCGGCCCATGCAGACGCCATCATAGTACCGCTGATACTTGCCCGAATGATAGACGCACTCCTCCTGGGACAGATACTCCCCGGTTAGCTCGTCCACCAGGAAGTGGCGCTTGCAGCGGGCACAGGGCTTGGCCAGGCTGCGCTCCACTTGGACATACTGGCAGTACTTGAGCTCGGTCAGACTCAGTTCTCCGGCTGAGGTGTTGCTGCAATCGGAAGTGGAAGAGGCCGAGGACGATGACGATGACGATGCTCCCGAGCTGGACTCGCATTCGCTGCCGCTCCAGTCGCCACCGGATTCCGAGTCCAAGGAATTTGGGGAACTATTCCCCGAATCACTCGACTCCAGTTCCCGCTGCATCAATCCATCGTGGGAATTGATCACGGTCACGGCCGGAGCTGTCTCGGCCAAGGCGGCGGCAAAGCTCATGTGCGGCATACACTTGAAGATCTCGATGGCCCCGTCATGGATCACCGAATCCACGGGATAGCCGTAGACCCGAAGCAGATGATGATCGATGACATGGCGTCGCAGCTGCTGCACCAGTGTCCTGTCGTCCAGATCCTGTTGCTCGTACTGCCGCAGTGGTGGCACCAAGAAGTTGGCATTCTGCCAGCCCCGCTCCCTCTCCCGCTCCCGGCGCCATTCCAGAGCCGCTCCCGGCATCAGGGATCGTTCGATCCTCTTCCGATTGCCGTTCACATGTGGCGAACTGGTGGGGGAACTGGTGGGTGAGCTCAAGGCGGACGAGGAGGAGGAGGAGGAGGAGGAGCTGCTATCGGTGCTGGTGCTGGCCAGATGCTTGCGCGATGTGGGATTGTTGTGGCCCAGGACTATGCTGTTCTTGCCGTTATTATTGTGATTGTGGTTGTTGTTTGAGTTTCCCCCATTGTTGTTCTTTTTCTTGTTGTTGCCACGCTTTGGTTGGTGCTGCTGCTGCTGCTGCTGGCTGGGATTCTGGCCATTCTGCTGGCGATTCCACTTGCCGCCTCCATTCTGCTTGCCATTCTTGCCGACCAATTTCTGGCCGGGATCGGATGATAGAGACTGCTGCTGCTGCTGCTGCTGTTGTGGCTGCTGCTGCTGCTGCTGCTGCTGCTGATTGCGTGACTTTTGCTGACGCTTTGAACGCGATTTGTTGGCCTGCCCCATTTGGTGATTGCCGGCTGAGTGGAGAGCACCAGCAGCCTTGGTCCTGCTCAGGTGCTCCCTACTCGACTCGATGTCCTCGCTGGTGGCCTCGCTGCTGGTGCTATTGCGGTGACCCGGATTGTGCTGGCCCAGGAATTTGTCTGCAAAAGATGGACAATAGAGATAAAGTGTTAAATTAATGCGTATGCATTTTTTTGATATTTATTTTAATTGGTATAACAAAATAACCATTTTGGGGCAATTTTCCATTTAGTTGGAGCCAAGCAAATGAGGCAATTTAATATAATTTGATTTAATTAAATTATTAGTAAGCTTTTAATTTTATTTTTGGGCAGTTTAGATTGTCATAAATTGTTTATTTCTTGTTTAAAATGTATTTAAATATTGTTCTTCAAAGTTTTCTCTTGAATCATATAAATTCTCCGAATTTTTTGAAGCATTTCCGTGATTCTTGAAATTTAACTAATTCCAAACAAACATTTCTTGTTAAACATTAATTCTTATCAGTTTTGGGATTTTTTTAAGAATACAAATTAATTACAAATTCCCTCACACCTTATCTCCCTGTGAATTTTGGGATTCTTCTGGTAATTAAATACAAATAAAATGTATGCACATTTAATTCGAAATTCAAATTTTTAGCTAAGGCAATTTAGCGGCGATAACAGGGCACACACGCCCGCACACACACACACTTGAGCACACACGCAAAACGTAGCTTATCAATGCTCGCCACGTGCTTTTCGATCTTTTGCTGTTTCTACGTAACAAATAGTTGCGCTCTCTTCTCTCTCTCTCTCTCTCTCTATCTATCTAATATACACTGAGAGAATAGAGGGTTTATATTTTGATGTATATTAATTATAATACATGTTGCAAGTATTATTATTAGTTTTTTATTATTTTTATATATTTCTTTGATGTGTGTTGCAAGAATTAATATGCTTTATTGTTCTTTTTTCGATTTATTTGTATGCTGAATTTAATTGAATTTTATTAGTAAACCCTTTCAAGTAAACCCCCTTTTTTTGCAGTGTAAAAGCGAGCTATGGAAGGTTACGCATGACTGGAAATTGACGCATGTGTGTATGGGGCGGGTTCCTACCTCGAATTTAGCTAATTCAACTTTATTTGGCTTGGTTGCCACCCGAAAGGGAGGGGGAGGGGGAGGGGTAGGGGGTACATAGTGTGTGTGCGTGTGTGTTGACGCATTACAATTATACACATTTTATTGTGACTATTATAGAGATGCCGCCTGCTATTATTATTACTTTTTTCTACCTATTAAGCGCTGTCGCGGCTTCCGCATTTAACTCATCATTTCCCCCATTCGCATTCTCATTCTCATTCTGATTCTCCTCATTCCCATTCTCGCTCTCGACTTAATCATTTAAACAAAACGAAAAAGCATAATAATAATAATAATAAACACAAAAAAAAGGGGGTACGGGTTGGGGTGTTGCCAAGGGTTTCGAAAATCCCAAACTATGACCTGTTGCCTAAGATTTTCGTGGGGTTTACATTTATATGCTGGATATAAATAAAGCAAACTTAATTAATGGAAGCTGTTAAGCCCGAATTTATGAATATTAATTCAACGAAAAGCTCACATTTATTGGACGCAATCTATCAACGCTTCGCTTACCTATTCACATCATAATTATGCATACTTGGGGTTATATTTAAATATGAAATATTTAAGACTCCATTTCCATTTGAATATAATTTCAAGTCTTGGAACAAAGTCCAGCTAAACGATAAATATATCGTGGTTATCGCATAGATCGATTGTTTTTTTGCAGAAAAAGACCAAAACCGATAAATCTATCGTAATATTTTCATTTTTAAAATCGATATTTATCGCTGGCATCGATTTTTTTTTCGATTTCCAGGCCAGGATATTGAAATCTAGAGCCCAAATCAACCATGTTATGCCATATGTTATGCCAAAACCGATAAATCTATCGTAATATTTTCATTTTTAAAATCGATATTTATCGCTGGCATCGATTTTTGTTCGATTTCCAGGCCAGGATATTGAAATCTAGAGCCCAAATCAACCATAATATGCCATATGTACATGTGTACTTGAGTCTTCCGAGTCCGTCAAGTGTCATCTGTCAGTCAGGGAGACTTATGACGCTTTCATCGTCGTTGTCGACGACATTTTCTTATCTGTGGCACAGTGAATACACTCAGCGATCCGCTTCCTACCCGCATCTCTGTCGCTCTTTCGCTCTTTCCCCAATGGAAATTGTGAAATTTGCAAAATTGCGAAATGCAATCCGCAAACACAATCCGCTTCCTTGTAGTGAAAAGCACGCTCTCGAGCACTTCCTTAACACACACACGCTTGTTTTGTTGTGGAAAATATACATAGATACATAGATACATAGATACAAAGGGGGACTGTGAAAAATTGAATTTCAAAGCGCGCATAGATAAATCATATGGCGAGGTGGGTTTGTTGACTTCACTCCACTCGAAGGACGAGGCGTCGTCGTCGGACTAAGCACCCAGACGTGATCTGGATTCCAGATGTGTGGATGGGACGATCGGGAGGGGAGAAGTGATATCAGCTGGCGATCGATCGCAATATATATTGTTTTACATATGTATATACAGTATATATAGTTATAGTATAAGTATGACCATCACGTAGGGGGCCTGGGGTGCGTGGTCATCGATTAGATAAGGCGTGGCCAATTTTTTGTATTATTTTTTTTTGGGCGTGCTGGGGTTTTGCTTTTGGCCATCTGTCAACGGAAGCCAGAGCCGAAATGTTGTTACGACTGGGGACCCTCCTATAAAGTCGCCCTTATCGCCTGACCAACACGCGCCAAACTCCCCGAAAAAGCCTTGAGAAGTATCATAAAAGAATATATACAATATACATCCGATTGAAATGTAAACATAGTGACATTTTAGACGGGGTATGCTCGAAGTCTTGCAAGGCATTTTTAAATATTTGGAAAAACTTAAAGAGAACTCAGTTCTTAACCTTAGAAGGGGTAACCTAAAACTATAATACTAACAAAAAAATTAGAAAAACTTGACTGATATCAAAACACTCGAGAGCCAGCGATTAGATAGTTTAGTTAAATAAGTGATTATCTATGAATATATACATATATATACCATATAAACTATATATGTATACATACATTGTAAAAGACGCTCATGACATATTATATTTTACGAGCGACACAGAAATATTGATTTAAATAAACTACTTAACGAGATGTAAACGTTTTTCCGGCTCATTATACGAGAGCAGGGAAATAACACGCAAGGCAGGCTGGGAAAAATGTGTTACAAAAATTGGGAATAATTAGTAATATTGACATTGTTGCCCTTTCGAAATCCGATCAATGTTTAGTGCATTTCAACCCAAGAATATTGGCCAAGTGCTCAGTCTATATAGTCTAGAGTCTAGACTTCTACCCCCATTTGGTTACCGGGCAGTGATAAGATGTGTGTGCGTGTCCAGTTGGTATTATTTTCCAATATTTTTGCAGTTACCTACGGCAACAGCCAGCAGCAGTGATTGTGTTTCCGTGTGAAAAAAAAACATAGCGAAAAAATTCTAATCAGCAAAACGACGGCAATCCCGAAAAAAAAGAAAGAAACATACAGAACTTGAGGAGAGAATAAATTCAACACAGCTGTTAAATGATGAATCGTCCCAGATCGTAAATAATTTTAATCTATTTACTCATAGTAAATACTATGTACTAACCTCTGGGTTTCCATGCACCGATATTTAATTAGTTATCGCCGACTGTCAAGATAGCTTTTATCGGCTTTGATTTCAGCAAAATAGCAAACTTGACGTCATCGATGTTATTAACTTTTGGATTGACCCATTTTGAGCTTCAGCATCCCCCATCTTTAGGGGATATATATACAAAGATATATATATTTTTAAGATTTAATATTCCCCAACTACTTTGGCTGACCTTCGAGACGCTTCCTGTGCCAAAGAGACAACGAACAAAAAATTACTCGTCTCATCGTCGGCGTCTCGCAATTGGTCTTGTGCATTTTTAATGAGGCCCGAAAACCTGGCTTTGAGCTTAGCTAAATAGCAAAAAAATAAGCCAGCAACAACAATGTATATATAGGAATAGCAATAACAAAGATAATATACTCGTAAAACATCATCGCGATAGTTAATTGTGACCGAAACGAACACGCTCACGTATGTCACAACATCCCGTCAGTCGCTTTTAATGTAAACTAATATGAGTTTTATTAATCAAATATATATATACCATATATATACAAATGATATATAGCGATATATATGTAGATGGTGCGTGTTGTATGCATTGAGGTCAGCAGAAGGGGGCACAAAGATTTAATAATAATTTTCAAGCCAAAAATGTGAGCCGTAAAAAGCAAATCAAATCGTCAGCAGTATCTAAGGGTAAACTAGATATAATATATGCTATAAACCATATATATACTGTATAGGTACATATATGTACACACGCAATCTGGACATTGTTGTAATCAAATCGTTAGATAATACCTGGGAACTGGGATCGTATACATTTTACCCTTTAGTCTCTCTCCCTGGGTTTATATTATGTTTATCAGCCAGCCGATTGGTAATCTTTATATCTTTATGTCCTAATTAGTCCTAAAAAACAATCTACAATAATATTTACCCTTGTGATAAAATTTCTAAGAATAACATGGGGGGTCTTATTTCGTATTTTTTCCGCAATTGTTCAAAGTTAAAAGGTTTAAAGGCGGTAAATTAATTTTACTTGGATAGTTTATTCCTTGAATAAAATAAAGTTCACTTTATTTATTAATTCTTAGAACGATTAGAAAGTTGTTTTTTTGCAAAAAGACTTAAATTTAATAATAAAAGACTGTGTTTATGCTTAAGGATTAGCATTAAGATAACAAAATTGTTTTACGTTAAAAATAGCTTCCCTTCTTGTAGTAAAATCATTAAACTCAGTGAAGGAGTCATTTCCGACCCCATAAATCATATATATTCTTGATCAGCATCAAAAGCCGAGTCGATCTAGCTATGTCCGGGGAAAATTTAATTTTTTGCAATTGTCAACATTTTTTAAGGGGTAAAATATTGTAATTTTAATGCTGAAAAATTGATAAAATTTAGATTTTTTTAAATTATTATATAAAGTATGCAGATTTATTAAGCTGATAAAAACTAGCCCAGAACAGCATTCCGAATTAAAATTAATGTATTTTTGGCTTAGTTATGAGATTTTTAAACTAAGATTTGTAAAATAAAATGTCATATAAAATATTGACTCATAAATGGTATTATAATTTTAGTCAGAAGCTTGTAACTCACAAAGGATTCATTTCCGACCCTGTAAATCATATATATTCTTGATCAGCATTAAAAGCCGAATCGATCTAGCTATGTCCGGGGAAAATTTAATTTTTTTTAAATTTTCAACATTTTTTAAGGGGTAAAATATTGCAATTTTAATGCTGAAAAATTGATAAAATTTAGATTTTTTTAAATTATTATATAAAGTATGCAGATTTATTATGGTAGTAAAAACTAACATAGGACAGCTTTCCGAATTGAAATTAATATATTTTTGGCTTAGTTATGAGATTTTTAAACTATGATTTGTAATATAAAATGTCATATAAAATATTGACTCAAAAATGGTATTATAATTTTAGTCAGAAGCTTATAACTCACAAAGGAGTCATTTCCGACCCCATAAATCATATATATTCTTGATCAGCATCAAAAGCCGAATCGATCTAGCCATGTCCGGGGAAAATTTAATTTTTTGCAATTTTCAACATTTTTTAAGGGGTAAAATATTGTAATTTTAATGCTGTAAAATTTATAAAATTTAGATTTTTTTAAATTATTATATAAAGTATGCATTTTTATTAATTCAGTAAAAACTAACATAGGACAGCTTTCCGAATTAAAATTAATGCAGTTTTAGCTGAGTTATGAGATTTTTAAACTAAGATTTGTATAATAAAATGTCATATAAAATATTGACTCAAAAATTGGATTATAATTTTAGTCAGAAGCTTATAACTCATGAAGGAATCATTTCCGACCCCATAAATCATATATATTCTTGATCAGCATTAAAAGACGAATCGATCTAGCTATGTCCGGGGAAAATTTAATTTTTTGCAATTTTCAACATTTTTTAAGAGGTAAAATACTGCATTTTTAATATTGAAAAATTGAAAAATTGTAGATTTCTTTAAATTATTATATTAAGTATGCAGTTTTATTAAGCTGATAAAAACTAGCCCAGAACAGCTTTCCGAATTAAAATTAATATATTTTTGGCTGAGTTGTGATGATTTCCATGATCTACCTTCAAGGGTTTGGTTCTTTTTTGTTTGTTGTTAAAATATCATCCTTCCTGAGGATATTAAACATTCAAATATTGTATAATTTTAACCCTTGATCCATGATTTGTGTCATCTATCCAAGATCTTTGGTTGCCAAGTTCAGATCTTATGTAGGAGAGTTTCGAGACGGGTAAATGGCCGAACGGGTTAACCTTGACTATTGCCATCAAGTCGGTGAATCTCGGACGCAGACATCGCCGCGGGGCACTGAGGGGTTAAGTGGCGTAGCTATTCCAAAGATCGCCAAAGAAATGCGAATGATGATGTGATGATGATGATTATGATGATGCTGCTGCCGAGAGCAATAATAAACGGAATTGCGAGCACTTTTTAAAGATTGTTATGTAGCTTGAGATTTCCACAGCGGCAGCAGAGATCTTTAATGGGTTAATAATGAGACCAGGCTACAAGCAAGGCATACAATGGGGTTCACAAATATATAAACTGAATATTTAAGCAGTTAAAATGGTATTCATATGGGTTTAAATGGAATAAACTGTCACAGAAGTCAATTAAAGGGCTCTAAATATTTTTAAAAATTCCCTAATTATATATATATATATTCCTTAAACTCCATTGTCTTTCTGGTTGCACCGTTACTTGGCACTAACTAAAAAATGGCCAACAAGAAATGAGTTCAAGTTGTTGCCTCTTTTGGAGCTTCGCGCACTCGTATTACCAACTCCGACTAACTAACTAACTACTTACTACTAACCCACTAACAAATAATCGACGGTGGAAGAGAAAGGTGAAAGAAATACCTATAAATCCGATCCGATGATATAGTGGGGCGTGAAAAATGCAGTCGCAAACCACAGCCAGCGAAGCCGTGTAAGCCATTCCTTTTTGGCCAAAACAATTATCTAATAATGAGTGGAGGAGCCATATGTGTACAAGACTCGGCTTAATTGCCCAGATTGGTCATAACATTTTAATGGGAAATTTATGTGGTGTTAAGTCAAGAGCTTAGGTTTTTGTGAAATATTTACCCGAAATAAGGTTTTCAAGGGGGGAATACTGTAGGAAAACATCAAATCTGTGTGGGTAATGGGTATTAAATAATAACTTGGTCTAGACGGGAAATTAAGAGGAATTATCCATCACAAAAATATGCAAAAATATTACATTTTTGCCATGAAATTATATATCTTTCATATGTAGTTAGGTTAGTTAACTTTAAAAGCATTCTTTTTAAGGCTTTAACTAAGCAAAAACTAGGAACTTGACTGGAAATAATTATTTCAAGATCGATAAAGCTTTGTCCTTCCGTAATCACTCTAATTGTTGAAACGGAAGACCAGGTGCTCTCGTTTCCCTTTTTTTGTTGTGTGTTATTATTGTTATTATTGTTTATTTTGTATTGTTTTGTGGCACTTAACGCTGTTGTGCAAATTTTTCACTTTGCTTGTGCAATCAGCGGAGAGAAGACAGACCAGGGATCGAGAAGCTTTCCGAGCAAGTGCTAATCAATGACAGAAGCGATCAGTTATGCAATGATTGCTCCTCCCAAGTGCGATTATCAGCAGTTCATCGTTTGACCAAAAAGCCAACCTATGCCTGCCTGATCGATCGTCGACTGATACTATGGCCCATAATAATACACACCTGATACGGTGACAAACATGTACATAAGTACAATAAATACAATAAATACTAGCACGAGTGCTTGTAGGTACTACTATATATACATATATGATCGAAAAGGCGCCAGAGCCGACTGTGAGAACTGAAAAATCTGAACGCTAATCAGCTGCTCCTCCTCTATTGCGTCTTAGCTTTCCCAAAGGCAAATATATGTACATATGTGCACACCTTATGTATATACATATATATATATTGTAGTCCAACGATAATAACAAATAAAAACGAGGCATGATTCTGGAAAGTTTTGCCTTCTTTTTTTGATTAAAGATGTGGAAAATTCGGCATGGAATAGTATTTACTTGATAAAGGCTTTTTTTCGGGGAAATTTTTAAACAAAAAAAGGAATATTGAATATTATTTGGAACTTAGGAAGGTAAAAAATCAACGTTTTCGATACTTTTTCAGTCAGGAAATCGATTTTAAAACTATACAAACTTAATATACTCAGAAGTAGAATTTAAAAACGATGGAGATTTCGATATTTTTAAAGCAGAACATTGATTTTAAATCGATTAATATGTTGTTTCCTTCTCTTGCCAATCATAATTGCCAATCAATAAACGGCTAATTCTATAGCTTCACAGTTCTGTTGTAAATTCCGATTGCGCATAAATTATGAAATTAATTCTCGATCGGTTGGCAAGCCAAAAGTTTTGAATATTTTATATTTTATTTATGTTTCCTATGTTGATGATGTCTTTACGACTTTCCGCGATGCTTTTGTTTGTTTATTTAATTTCCTTCTTTCGTTTTCGTTTGCCTTCTTTCATTCATCAGATTTTTAATTGATTTTTAATGCCAATGAAAGCGAAAACGTAAACGAAAGCGAAAGCGAAAGCCTAAGAATAATAATAATAATAATACTAACAAAGAATCACCTGCTGATCTCTTTTAATATATGTATGTGCATATATCTCGCTTGAATAGTTCCGGTACAAGGTTCATTGGGCTTAAGCGAGGATTTCCTGCAATTTTCTTATTTGTGTACAAAGTCAAGAGCTCTGTCACTTTATATATAGATATAGTAACAGATATATGTATAAATAAGTGTACCCTTCAAGTGTCCAGAAAGTTAATTGAAATGTTAACAACTGAGGTTTTTGATAGTGATAGATATATACTTATAGATAGACCCAGATCGATAAGAAATACCCACTGATACCATAAATAGATATAGCTCGAGGGCCACTTTTCACTTTTCAAGTGGAATAGGGGGAGGTCTTTGTATAATATATAGAACTCTCTGATTGATTGATATATATATTGTGTCTTTTAAGTGCATTGTCATTACGATAATTGCAAAACAATTTGCTAGCTAGGCTGTATTTAAATATATTTTACATAAAGAAAACACCTCAGCATTTAATTTTAAAGATTCCCTTACTATTTCCATTCCCAATATCACTCTCTAGTCATTCCCGCATTTCCATTACCGTTGATGACGTCGATTTTTGCTTCGAATGATTCACTTTAAATGCCGGCCGATTTGCTTGGAATTTTATTAAACAAAAAAATAATAAATAAAAACAAAAGCGTATCGTGTGAATCAGCCAGAAAAGGTCTCACCCAGAGATACAATGTGGGTGTAAGAGCTGACTAAAACCGCGTTAAAACCAACGAAATTCGTTAATGATATTGGCAAGTAGCAACAAAATGCTTTTACCATGATTCACATGATTTAAATAATTACCAGACTCTGTGAGTTAATGTGTAAAAATGTTTACAATATTGGAAATTGTAAATATAGCTACTAAATATTACGTTTTGTTTAGGGAGAGAGCAATGCAAGAATAAGATATAAACCCGCTTGATATGCAATAGATAACCTCTTGGGAAAAGTGTGTAGAAATAGCTTAGAGATCTGGGAAAACTCACCTTCGATGCATGAAGAATTGACCAATCGATGTCCGTAGCCTCTATCCAGCCAGTTGTTGTTCGGCGAGGAGGACTCACTTCCGTTTCCGGGTAATCCGCAGTTTCGCTTTTGCATATTTCCAAAGGATTGCTGCTGTTGCTGTTGCTGCTGCTGCTGCTTGTTGTAGCGATTCTTGCGTGTGCCATGCTTGTTGTTGCCATTGGAGCTTTGCTGCAAAGCAGCTGCTGCAGCGTTGCATGTTGCATGCTGCTGCTGCTGCTGCTGCTGCTGCTGCTGCTGCTGATAGGCCATCGCTAGGTTGTTGGTGTTGCTGCTGCCGGTATATTTCTGAGAGCAGCGTTTGTTGCTATTATTTTGATTGGCGGTGTTGTTACTAGTGTTGTTGTTGTGGTTGTTATTGTTGTTATTTTGATTGCAACGCTGCATCTTATCATCTGGAAAATAGGATATCAAGTATAGAGATTAGTATCGAGTAAGAAACTTTTAAGAAACTTAAATCTAAAGAGACTTCTTTTGTTTTCTGTTGCATTTTCCTTAACTTACAAATCTTGGGCAGATGTAACTGCAAGAAATCTTCGAGAAAGAAATGCATTGCACCGCTGAAGACATAAACGCGTTGTGTTTTCTTTGCTGAATGATATATATAATATATATATCCGATATATGTACTCTGTGTCTCTTTCGAAAGGCAAACCGCCTGCACTTGCAGCTGAAAGCCAACTAAATGGCGCGATTAGCAAACGCTTGCGATATAAACAAAAAGCTGGTCGCCAAGAAAATATACGCGAATAAAAAAAAACCCAGTCACAGAGACACAGAGCCGCTCACAATCCACTTTCCGGTGACGACACAGTGAATCATCGACGACTCGGCGCTGATAAAGCGGGAATACTGCTGCGAACTCTGCCACTGCTGCTATCTCTCTCTACATCGCTATTGGCCTCTCTTTCGGGCCAGATAGAACGAGTGAAAAGCCAAGCACATGGGAAAGGCAAAGAGCAGAAGCAAAGGCAAAAAAACCTAGGCCAAGTCACACTGTGTTTGTGGGGCTTTTGGCCAGGTTTTGACCACGTGCCCTACAGGCTTCCTACTTAGATAACGCGTATATCAGCGAGTATCTATGTATCTGTATCTGTATCTGTATCATAGTGGGTGTTTTCCATAGAAAAGGGGATCTGAAAATCCCATTTGGTAATATAGTAAATAAAAACCTAGAAGGTAAATGTTGTTCGGTGTTTAGGGATATTATTTATAGGATAGTAACGTGTAATAAGTAAGGGATATGCCACAAAAGTAACGAGTAACGAGTAACTAGAAATCTTTACATAGAAGTCATAAACAAACATATTTAAAGGATATTTAAGGATAGTTGTGTATAGCAATTACTAAGAAAAGAGTAAAGGACTAAGAGATATGCAAAGCTAAGTTCAAGGTTTACTAAACTTGATCTTTATACCTTAAAATATGATATATATATATATGTTTTTATGTAAGTATATATTGTATATTTGAAACAAACTTAGCTGTTCTGCCGAATTTCGCTCCCTGATGCTGCTGAAGACTTTTCATTCATTCTTTCTCTCTCTCTGTCTCTCTGTCTCTCTGCCTCTCTCTCTCTCTCTCTCGTTCTCTGTCTCTGTCTCTCTGTCTCTGTCTCTGTCTCTATCAGTTAAGTGATGATGATGCTGATGATGATTTCATGCAATTTCAATTTGATTTCCCCCTTCCAATATATTGCGGAAAACTAGGCTGGGAGAAAAACTTTGCTCGATTCGATTCGATCCGCGATACAGTTGTGGCGCGTGTTACGGTGTAATTCGGTTTGTGGAAGCGAAACAAACGGCAAAAATTTTGATACTTTTGGGCAAATGTTTGGATTGTTCTGTTGAAAGTGTCTCGAACTGTCCCCGATAACATGTTGATTATAATAATTCCACAAAAGTCAAAACCCAACGTCTAGCTACCGGGTCATGTGATGATTTTTTCCAATAATTCTGCACAATATCTATAATATATATTTGACCAAAAAGTGCGAAATGTTGACCGTTTAAATCCAGTTTTTAGATAAATAAATAAAACTAAAGACAACAGATAGCCGGCAAAAATCGTATAAACTTGTTTGCAAAAATAGTTTTTGTCTGCATCTTTTGTTAATGATAAAATTGCGATTTAAAATAGTTTTTATGTTATTTTTTCTTAAGAGATCAATCACTTGTTATAATCGTTAAATTATTTTTAATCCTTTAAAATGCAAGAGTCTTTTAATTTATGCACCTTTTAAATTATATTGACAAACGTTTAATGATTATTTGGAATTTCTTTCATTAAGTGTTTTGATTTATAAATCAACTGTATTTTATTGCTTCCTCAATCATTTTTCACATACATTTTCACCAATGAAAATTCGACACTGTTGCTGTTTTATCTTCATCTTTTTTTGTGTGTGCGAATTTAAACACTAAATAAGAACAAACTCTCTGCTGGCCCGTATTTTTAGCCAAAACATTAAACGAAAAAGTTCATCATTTGCCGGTTTGCTTTCACTGGGGCACCGTCATAAATGGGGATCTTGGAATTTCGGCAATTTGTTGTTTATGGCGAGAAATGATCATCATCATCAGAAGAAATGAACACACACACACACAACAATTTAAGCCAGAAAAAACAACAACAAATGTATATAAATTATAGGCAAAAACAACAAAAAATAATACACAAAACATTGCCGAAAGACAGTCAAAATGACGACTGCGAGAAACAGGTACCAGTTCGTGCCTAGCGCCGTTCCATGTGCGTACACCTGCCGAAAAAATACACCACCCCCTGCCTCCCATACACAGCAAGAAAAATGAAGTACCTAAATTGTACCCAAAACAAAAATATATATACATTTAGAGAAGGTCAAGAAATCACTCAAAAAAGCTACTTTAAAGCAAAGATTTTGGTCACACTATTTCTTAGACAATTTAATTCGCATCCTTAACTAATTTAACAATTATTGACCTAATCTTGGTTTAACTCTTATGAAATAACTAGAATTGTTAAAGCTTTAAAGGCAGCCATCTTTGTGGCTTAATTCTTATTTAAAACACAATTTTAAAAGAGGTTTTCAACTTGATAAATTATACTATTACTTGATTCTTATATTATTATCAAATATATTGATTATTTTCTGATTTATTTCAGTGCATTCACCACGAGGAGAGTGCGAGAGGAAGCTCTTTAAAATTGTGGGGTAAGTTGTTTTTGTTATTTGCGGCATTCACGCCCCCTTTGTCGATTAGGGCGTGTGATTTATATTGGCGCCCCGCACTGAATCCCAAAATCCGAATCCGAAAATCAAATCGAACTCGGAATGATAAAATTGCGTAAAAAAAACTAAATAAAAACCAGTTTGCAAAGCGTTTTTATTAAAAGGCGACGAAAAGTTCGCTGATGATGATAATGATTATGATAATGATGAGAGCGTTGTGGGCACGTGTGTGCAATCACCCCAGGCTCTACTCTATGGACCTTTTTAGGTATTATTCTTAATTATTATTCTTATTATTACTTTTTGGGGTTAATCCATCTGTCCCTTCTATATGTTTGTGTTTGTTTTGTTTCCTTATTTTGTTGGCCGCATTGCCAAAACGGAAATGCAAGGCGCGCGTGTTTCTATTTTTGTGGCCACCGAACTCATCAACTGCATCGTCATCATCTCATCATCATCATCATCATCATGGGATTCATTATGATCATGATCATGATGATCATTATGGCTAAAATACGATTCATTCATATATTCATTCAAGTTAGCAACAACAGCAAAAGTTGAATGAATTCCAACGGATATATATATATATACAAATTGTGAGCACATATATGTGTATATAGAGTGAAGATCTTAAGATCCCCAGGGAACGTAGGAACGAATTGCGATCATAAAGCGCGAATATAAGTAGTACATATATAGCCTATAGAAGGGGGATCATTAAGGGAAGACCGAACACAATGGAGGGGAAAACTTCAAAAGAAACATTGTGGGGAAAAGATTAGCAAACTGTGTATACACTTTAAAGGATACTTTATCTTATATATAACTTAGTATAGATATTATATTTCATTTTGTGATATGCATGAACTATCCTTTTTAAGCTTAAATACACTAGGCATCATTTATAAAGGGTTCTTATAAAAAACCAAGTTCAAGTCAGGGTATCTCATAGTTTTCGTACCCTTTCTCTCTCTCCTTCTTTTATTTCGAGTGTGTGTTTGTTTTTTGAAAAGAGTCTTTAGTTGGAAATGTTGGCATATATCCTATAAAAAAGTATGTATATAAAGGGCATGCCATGATGATTATGGGGGACCAACTTCAATATCTGAAGGCGCATGGCAACAGAGCCAAAGACCCAAAAAAAAAAGATATTTAAGCCTCCACAATGACGACGCATTCGCAGCATGTTTGTCTGCTGCGCAGATACAAAGATACGCAGATATTTGTAGATACAAATGCAGATACAGATGCGAAGATACAGATACAGAGCGAGCAGTTTTTGCGTGAAAGTTTTTCCAAAAAGTAAGGGTAAGATTTAATTTAGGATTTAATAAAATCTGGCAACCAAGAGATAGTTTTCTAAACAAGTATGTATAAATATTCATTGAATTTCACTATTTTTTGCTTGAAAGTTTTTCCAAAAAAATAAATCAAAACCCAAAAGACAACACAAAAAACAAAAAACCGAAAATGCGAGTGGAAAATCCCCTTGAGCCTCCACAAAACGAGTTTCCATAATGGGTTTAATGGCACCACCGGGGTTACGTGTTGCTAACGAACTTTTCTCCGCAGTTTAGGCTTTTTTTTTATTGTTTTTTGTTCTTGGTGTTTTACAAAAAATATGAAATATGAAAGAAACCGAAAACCCGCCAAAAAGTCACATACACGTGTGCCTGGAATGGGGTGGTGGTTTCAGCTTCTCGTCTTGATTTCCACCCAAAAAAAGCGAAAAACTTGTTGTAATAAGCGATGTTTTCGGACCGGAAATGTTAATGCGGCCTTAATGTATTGTATAATTGCGGTGGGGCCGTAAAAATGAATAGAAATCCATAGGAAATTAAGTCATTCGCATTCAATTACGTGCCCCGCACACGACGGAACATCTAGAACGTTTTGCACATAAACGTAAATTAGATTGATGTAAGGCAGTGCCAAAAACTACTAGCAACAAATTAGGGTACAGTAAGTACTCTTAAATTGCAAATAAATACTATATAATAGATATATTCCTCTTACTAGACTACTTAAAGGTTTTATTTAATTATTTCTTAAGCAATTAAGCATTTGTTTCGTTTGCGAGGTCTTAAAAAATTAGGAAATCATTAGGGATAAACAATGTTTAATTGCAGCTTACTCATTTATTCAAGTTTCTTTGTGTTTTATGGAACGTTTACTGTG